GTGTGTGTGTGTGTGTGTGTGTGTGTGTGTGTGTGTGTGTGTGTATTTTGTACAAATATACGCATATACGCTATTTTTCGATAATCTGTGAAAAAATTAATTCTTCCATCTCCTTTTTTTCGTAAAAAAAAAAAAAATTTCCTATACATCTCTTCTATATACCTATATACATCCATCTTCAAAAATTCCATCAGTCACGGAACATTATGATTTTAATAACAATTCAATTTCATATTTCTTTTTATTATATTCGTTATAAAACGCCAAAGAAATAATATTTAAATTGTTTTGTTAATAAGAAAAATATAGATATAATTCAGATAATTTTTGCGATACAAATTATATTTCTGTTATGAATATTAATTCTAATCGATAGATGGACATATATTGTTATTAGATACAAATATAATAATAAAAGAAGTATAAATGGTACACGCTAATAAAAAGAATTGCTCGACGAGAATATGCGATATGTAGAAAATTTCTCGTATCGATAGAAAACACGACGAAAAGATATTCCTAGGATTTACGGAATATTGTGATAAAGGAGAACACCGCTTCTGCCGTGTAGCGATAAAGAAAAGGCTACATCATATAGGAGCGAACGACGCGGAAAGAAAAGAAAGAAGGAGCGAAATGAAACTAACGAGGATAAAGAATGGACGTGTACATACATATATATATATATATATATGTAACAGCTACATACGTATGTATACATATATAATGGACAATGCCGAGATTCACATGTCAACGCGTAAGAAAAATTGGATTTGCTCCGATGTTTTGTCACTGAGAAATTTTGAAAAAAAAAAAATATATATATATATAATATATATCTTCGTCGTATTACTTGAATCGTAAATCATAAACACATTAAATACGCTTTGTATCGAGAAAAAATCGATTCGAATCGCAATCCTATTATGATAAATCACGATTTGATTTAATTATACGAAACGTCTTCTTCTTCTTCTTCTTCTTCTAGCCATCGTTGGATCATCGATAAATGGTTGCTCGTTATTCGAAAGATTGGATCGGTAAAGTTGTTAACGAGAAACGCCGTCTACAATGTAATCGGTGAAAAATAATTAAAGACGATGAAATTAAGCGTTGCACGTTTATGATGTTCCAAGCCCCATTTGTTCGGCTCCGTTTTAATTATCAGACGCTTGCCATTAGGCCGATATTAATGACGCACGTTCGCTCGAGCGTAACTCCCTTCTACACCCTTTTACTCCCTTCGACAACACGCAACCATCCAACGATCGTTTGTTTAAAGCATTCGGAAGTAATATCGATGCTCGTTTCTTCCTCTTTCCGATTCTCGCCATTCTTCGTATATAATCGCGCACGAAAGTTTGCACAGATTCGCACAAATTATGCCTAATTATCTTCGTCTAATATTGTAATTAAAAAACAAATTGTGACAAAACGTGTTTGTCACGATCGCACCGTTTATTTATTTGAAAATAATAGGAGTAAAGGTGAAAAAGCAATTACGTAATGTTTAAACCGTGCATTTTGATTTATTTCAGAATACCATTTTACCCGAAGCAGTGCACTTTTGGGAGCGGGCACTCATGGTCCGCGAAACAAAAAGCACTATTAGATTAAGCAGGTAATCGTTTTATCTATTAATCTGTCACGTTTCGATGAATGCATGCATATTCATTTTCGTGCTTTTCTGTCCAACTTCTGGAAACGAAACGAAACGAAACGAACGAGCGTTCATTCCCTTTACAAATCAAAATTTTCAACGCTATATTATATCTACGTGTATCGTAATTAGATCAAAGTAGATATGAAAAAAAGAATGGAATAGACGTAATATTTTGCGAAATCTTTTCTTATATATGATATTATAATGTACGTACAATGTACGTAATGTAAATTACGATTTATTTAATCACTCGAATACTTTACGAAAAATATTACCGCGCTTCCACCCAATTAACTCATATTATTTTTATTATTTCTTATAAAATATATGATATACCAGTGATACGACCTATATACATCGCTAGTATCATTATATTATATTGAATAATATAATAAACGATTTCCCAGATCTTGCCGTTTGCTTCATCCTAATGTCCATTCCATCTATCCTTTTCTTGTCGCAAAAATTTTTATCTATTCTCAAATAAATTCTCCTTTTGATACCTTTTGATACATATATATAATTACAAAACGAAAATTCGATCCTTCAATCATTGCGCAAAACAAATAACGAAACGTATGTGCAAGGAAAACGACGCGGAAAAAAAAACTAAATACCAATTTCCATCGATATTTTTCATTTTTGAAAACATTTAAAAAATGAGATAAAATAAGCGGAAAATAAATAAATAAATGCTCCATATTAAACCATGCACCCCATTCATTTTCTATTTATCTACGTTACGTTATTTTATCTACTTAAATAAACAACATATTAATTAACATACGTTAATTGTGCTTTTATTAAATTATTTCATTAATATTAAATCTTGTATCTTGAAACGTATCTTAATTTTATTAACATTGTTAAATTTGTTTCTGAAATAAACTAATGAAATTAATAAAATTATATAATAACTACAATTACTACAACAATCCTTTTTTTTTCTATTCTAATTTGTAACAAACTACAACAAACTCAATTAATAAATTAATAATAAAAATATTATTAAGTAACGCATAAATTTTCATTTTTCTAAAATTGAAAATGACAATTGAAAAAAATGCCAATTTTGATTTGAATTAAAAAATTTTAACCAAAATTCAATTTGAATCTGAATTAGAAAATTTAAATTTAGTTAAACCGAGTTTAACTAAATATCTCATTTTAATCGTTAATAATAATAATTTCCAATAATATTATAATACGAATGAAAAATATTTATTATTAACAAAAGAATGCATTTTTCAACTATATTTTCAGTAACAAATTCTCTGTTAAGAAAGAGGTGATGAAAAGAAAAAAGCAAAGAGGAAATCTTTGAAGAAGACAAAAGCCAGAAGGGCTATCCAAAGTATAATAATAATCCGAGTCAATGTAAATCCGAATAAACAACGTGAGTGAAACATCTTTTTTATTTCGCAAACGCTAATATAATACTAAATTTTTAAAAGAAAATACTAAAAGTGCTTTATTGTGTTTGTAATTCGAGTCTTGAAAAAAAACACGAAAAAAAAAGAAAAGAAAAAAGAAAGACGTGTCGCGATAACACATATTTTCGTGTAATATAATTTTCGATTATTTGCAAACTACTCTGATAAACTAATTTATGCACTCATATTTTATCATACGCAACACTAATAGCAGAAAATTGCAACCATATCAAAGGCAATCGTTCGTCGTACAATCATCCAAATGGATTTGATTCCAATCGGTGATCCAGGAGCACAAAACGTATTTCCACGATTCCAAGAAGAAATGTGGGCAAATTGTAAACGCGACATTACTATAAAAAACGCGATCATTTAACAATGTAACGTTACGTTCTAACGTAAACTTATAAATAATTATAATAAATATATTCCATAAATGGGAAATTACATCAAATATCCCGATACAAATCGCAACACTATAAGACGAGTACAAGTTTACTAAAAAATAAAAAATAGCTAATTTATAATCAAAATTAAAATAATATAATAATAAAGCAAACGCGATCATTATTTCATCGCAACGTTAATGCAAAACCGCGATGACCCATGATAATTGGATTTAAACATTGGACCGGCATATAATGATCGGTCAAAATACAATAATACAACAACATATACTGCATATTACTAAAACGAGCACAGTGACGAAATAGTAACAATGACATCCCATTCTTTGGATCCAAACAAGATCCAAAAGATGAGAAGCCATTCGTTGCAGCCCTCTTCGTGACAGTTTGTCGGGCCTCTTCGGTCTTCCTCCTTCGGGCGCTGAAACTTAAATTCTAGGCTCGAGATTCACTAATCGGAAATCAAAGAAAAAGAAGAAGAAAAAAAAAAGGACTAAATCGCAAAAGTTAAGTGCACATCGACGACCAACGATCGCAATGATCGTTCTCAACATGTGTTTTTAGTTATGTGCAGAATCTCGAGCGCAACGTTCGTTTCGAAACGTACTTCGCGTTCGCGACCGCGGTATTCGAAAAATCGATCGGCAAACTCATCAACCGAATGGCACATTGTCCATTCATGTTCGAGCTTCATCTTCGATTTTTCAAATTTTATTTCCTGAAACAGGTTGTCACGCGAAAACGCGCCTACCCGATCAGAGATAGTGACAACCTGCCCGGCCCTACCTACTTATAATTAAATCACCAGACATACCAGAAGTATACTACCTATCCTACCTATTCCTATATTTAAAAAAATGGCAAAACAGGCACACCAACACATTCGCTCCACTCCACATTCCTCCACACATATTCTCAAGCATACTACCCGGGTGCAAAAAGCCTACACTAGGGAAAACGTCCCGGGACGCTTCCGACACCCGAGCTTGGCACGCTACTCGCACACTCTAACTTTACGTACCATTCTCCTGAAATCGACTGACGATGGTTAGCGACCATTGCGTGAAACGCGATTAAAACGCGTTTTTGTATCAAAAATTTTAATTATTTATAATCGAAGATAAAAGAAATAACTAAACGATTAATTAAATTTTCATTATTGTAATTTAAAATTAAAAATAAATAATTACACTATTTATTACTATTTACATTATTTTATTCCAAATAATATCTCGATTGTAAATTGTAATTGAATTAACAATCGAATGAAAAAAATAATAAAAATAACAAACGATGCAATTCCACAGCCTAACACACATACACACACACACACACACACTCGCGCATACAATGTAGAAAATACATCGTGCACGATACACTAACGCATCATCAGTCGCCGAGAAATTTTTATTAGCTTATAATCTAAGATCATCATGCTCATTGCCTTTCTCCCACCCAAGTAGTACCTGGACACGTGAGCAAGATCCTGGCAATGGACATGGAAGGCATTAAACCTGAAAATCCTAAGCTAAAAAAATATTAATATATCCATTTTATGTCTAACGGATTAATTTTAACTTTATTTTTATATATCTCATTCTATTTCAAATTTTAATGACTTTATTATTCATCGATGTAATAAATTATTAAAATTTTAATATTCTACAAAAAAAGAATCACTAATTAGAAAAAAGAATATATTTATTAAAGAAAATTATTAAAATGAAATTCAATGAATTGACTCAAAATTAGATATTAATGAAAATATCCTCAGGCGATTCCTTCATCAAAGCATATTTTCGAAAATATAAAACAAATATTCAAAATTTATAGCTTTGATTTCAAAATCTACCTGTCGCGAAGTATCTTCTTGAACATATTTTTATTTAACATATTTTTAAACGAGAGAAATAAAACTATAAAGTTTATTATTTCGATAATCAAACAACTAGAAAACTATTATATTAATATAAATGGAATTAAAAATGCATTATTTATTATTTATTACAAATATTTTATCTCTAATACAGATTAATACGAATATTTATATACATTAATATATTAATAATGTGGAAGATTATTAATATATTTATAAACTAACGCGATGTACAAGAAGATCTAGCCTGAGTTAATAAATAAAACGAAAAAAGGAAATGTTACTATTCACAGGTATATAAAAATACCCGCGGTCACTGTGCTCGTGAAAAATTCTATATACAACCAATCACCTGTGTCGTTTCGGACTTTTCGTCCTACAACATGATTGAGTGATTGGAGAAACCAAAAAATCATGCGACTTACCATCAGGTGCGAATAATCTCTGCATCGTGAAGTAGTTATCGCAAAGGCTGGGATATCTAAAATAAAAAGTTCATCCATTATAATTTATTAATTAAATGTAACGATAAAGAAAGTAAGATAAGGTAATAGTAAAAATTAAATTAATATAATAACTTGATATTTAAAATCATCAATATCAATTTTTTTAACTACAGAATAAAAATAGATGAAAAAAAAAGATAATTACCTTTTCGCGTGATGGATGATTTCTTTATTCTCTTGAGCGAAACACTGATTCTAATCTCTACCGAAAATGAATATTAAAACGAAAAAATAAAAATTAGAAACTATTAACGTCCGTTTATCTTTTTTTTTTAATTGGCGAACAAGCACTGATTCTAATTTCGCACATTATATTTAATTATGTTTATTAATTGCATTTAATTAATATGTTTTATAAAATGAAAAATACTATTACGAAACAAACACTGACTCTATCGACCGCATTGCGCGCGATCACAATTTTCTAACAAATCTAAAATAAAAATATAATTTTACGATTTGTTCTACTTTCATCGTATTCTTAATAATTCACGTACTTATATCACGTTCATGTATTATTTAACAAACATTGTCTAAATCCGATAAAAGAAAATAAAAATTTATCCACTTTTGATACCAAAAATCAAATATTACCACTTCTCCGAATAATCATTATGTAAAATGATTGTTATAACATCCATATTGAAATTTCTTTTTCCCGCTTATAGGTTATCCTGGTAATGTACATTATTAATCTGCACAAAAAACAATCCAATCTTTAAAACAAATATATACA